CAAATATGATCTTTTGGGCATGTGAGAAAGGAAGGCGAAATGATGGACATAAAAGAAGGCAATCGTATCAAAACAGGGGAGTCGGATAATCTGTGAAAGCTCAACCGTCATAATCAATCAAAGATACCGTCAGCCAGGAGTGGCCATCAAAGTATTGAATTCCTGCTTTAAATTTTAATTAAAATTCCAAAGCATATTAAGGCGTGTGTGATAATAATATTAGTATCCAGCATTGGACCTTAGTATTTTATTATTGTACTGTATCATATCATCCACCGCCATTATCGTATGGTATTATTTGGCTCAGTACCTCAAATATGTAATTTATCAAAATTACGATAGGTATTGAAATTATGCATCACAATTACGCAACAACATGACTTTATTTCAGATTTTTCATTGTATTGATATTGTTCTGCTACCTAAATTTCCAATATAATCATAATTTACATACAACGAACAACAGAATTCGTTGTCATATTTGACCTTGCTTACGTATGTTGAATTCAAATCATTTATGCTATGTTGTTATTGAAGATGTGCAACAATTATGAATTGTAACGCTCTCTCATTGGTCATTAACGCGGTTTGTACTACTGTGCGACAAGTTATTCATGGTTAAGACACAGTAATAATGTGAAAGTGTAAATGTCTAATTGGATTCCTTACTGCATGAGGTCGTAATCTGACGATCTTTGAAACAAATTGTTAAGTGAACAGTGATACTTGGCAGCAACGTCTTATGTTTCAATTATTCGAAAACTTCACATACATTTCATATCATTCACGTAATGCATGGATTGTTTCCTTTATGTTTAATTCATTGAAATCATTTCAATTTTAGACAGAGTGTCGCGATTATTGAATAGCGAAAGAATTTGAAGAAATGATTCATAAACTAATTACAAACAATAAGTAAAAATTGATAATTATACCTTAGGCCTTATAATTCAGGTACTGCAAAACGTCATATGTACTTCATGTTATTCAAATATTACATCAATTGTTGATGTTTGTTTAATTTACTCGAATTATTTTCAGTTCCGGGCGGGCTATTCAATTGAGATGAAATCTAACAAGATGGCTGTATATCCTCAGGAAATCTAAATCGCTCAGCAACATATATATTTCTCCGAATGCAGAGATCCTCCTCGATCGATTGGTGTGAAGAAATTGATATTTTACTGG